AATCAGTATCCCGTTGGTTCATTCATCTGACTTCAACTTTTTCGCTTTTTTTTCTTTTTCAGTTAAACGTGTTTAGGGTTTACTGATCTTTTTTTTGTTTTTTGAAAAAGCGGGTTTACTGAGCTTTTTCGATTAAACATGTTTATTTATTTTTATTTTTTTGCTAAGAATGTAAATATTTCATTTAAAACGAAAATATTTTAGGTTTACAAAACGAATTATAAACCTATACAAATGATTCTATGGCAAAAAAGGGTAAAAACATGGAATCATAGTACATTAAAAGTTTTCAATCCGTTCACTCAACATAAACACCAATGCAATGGAGTTAAACGAAGTGATGACGATGAATTGATGACGGTTAAACATGTTTAAGAAAGATTTCCCAACGAATGAGTTAACTTATTATTAATCATTGAATAATATGTGTTGGTGCTTTATGAGAAACTATTCCTACAAATATATCTAATGTTTCATACATTTGTAGCTTAATTTTAAACAATATATATCAAGCAAAGAACATACGTATTTTTAGGGATAACCAGCTAACCTATGCATGCATTGATCCAGGGATAATGAAGCAGCCATGATCGAAAATAGCGCTACTGATTTTTCGAACTGACTCTTTCCATGAGATCAATTGATTTCAACGACTTAATTGGAATGAAAGCTCATATGGAAAAAGATGAGAAAATTATTATGCCTAGATTTGAATGAAGTGAGGATGATAGGGATTTGGGGTCTTCCTGGGATTGGTAAGAGCACAATTGCAAGATTTCTATTTAGCCAAATTTCTAGACAATTCCAAGTGAGTGTTTATATCAAACCGCTTTTTCCAAATGCGGAGTTTATGTCACTACTCACATACCAGAATGTGAAGTTCTAAATCTAAAAGTTGAACGAGAGAGGTTGCTACAAAAGGAAGTTCTTGTCATTATTGATAACGTTGACGAGTCGGTAAAATTAGATGATATACTAAAAGAAACTAAATGGTTTGGTCCTGGAAGTAGGGTTATCATCGCGGTCCAAGATAGAAAATTTTTGGAGGCACATACGATCAATTATAGATACAGAGTTGCTTTGCCATAAGATAATGAAGCTATGCAAATCTTTGGTATGGCTGCTTTTGGTCAAAAGTTCCCTAAAAATGGTTTCGAGGAACTTGCAAGGAAAGTTTTTAATGATGCTGGTAAACTTCCTTTGAGACTAAAGATTATGGGCTCCTATTTCCGGGGAATGTCCGAGCGGCTTGATAAGATTGATCCATTCTGAAAATGCAATCAAGTCATTTAACAAAAGCTATGGGTGGAGGTTAAATTAAAATGATGCAAGTAGGTTATCTAAATATCAAGGGTAATGTATTTCTTGAATGTATTTGAGACGTGGATTGCTTCACTCGTCTATGATTTGCGACAAAAAAGAAAATAAAAACGCTGGACGCTACAAATTTGACTGGGACAACGATTTGATTTTTTCATTGGCAAAAATATCCACGAAACTCGTTAATTATTTTGGTGATAAGAAACATCCATAAAGTTGTATTCTCTGCCGATGAAGTCAACGTTCCGTGTAAACATATTTTGGAGTTTATATTGGCTGTCTATAAGATATTGATCTTCATCAATGGAGTCTTCCTTTTTCCTTACCATTATTGTTACTGCAATAAGCTTCTTCGTGCTTTATTTAAAATTCAGTTTCCATCAAAATAACAAAGATATTGATTATTCTTCTTCTTCGCTTTGTCTCATCACCTCAATCTTCTCTGTCTCGCAACTGGACATATGATGTTTTTCCAAGCTTCTGCGGGGAAGATGTCCGCAAAGACTTTTTAAGTCACATTCAAAAGGGTTTTGAAAGAAAAGGAATCAGACATCGAGAGAGGAGAATCTATCTATTTTCAACTTGTAAGGGCGATTAGAGGATCTAAAATCGCGGTCGTTTTGTTCTCGAAGAACTATGCTTCTTCGAAATGGTGTCTTGATGAATTGGTGGAGATTATGAATTGCAGGCGAGAACTTGGTCAAATAGTGATAGCCATGTTTTACAAAGTAGACCCATCTGATGTACGTAAGCAAACCGGAGATTTTGGGAAGGTCTTCAGGAAAACGGCCGGTAAAACAAAGGAGGAAATTAGGAGATGGAGAGTAGCGTTGGCAGAAGTAGCCACAATTGCTGGTTACCATTCAAGCAACTGGTTAGAGTTTCTTCTTTGCTCATAATCCTCCATATATGAACTTGCTACCATATTTAATTAGGCAAAATGTTATGAAAAATTATCATGTAGATATTGCAAAGAATCATTAGTTTTTAATAAAAAATGAATTGACAATTAGTTGATTGATTTATGTCTCTTATATACATACCAATGTTAATTTTTATATCTTAATACGCTTCCTCGGGACTTTTTTTTTTCCTTTTATTCATCTTTTTTCTTTATTAGGAAATCGTTGCTTCATTCATCTAACATCAACTTTTTCTCTTTATCGGTTACCCATGTTTAAGGTTTATTGAGCTTTGATACAATGTAAAAAATGATTTCCCAATGGATGAATTAACTTTTTTTTTGTCATCTGAAAATATATTAAGCAAAGAGAACCAAAGAGACTTACAAGAATTACCAGAACATCATACATAAATTAACATATTATTATATTTTTATTAATCATAGAATGATTGTGTTAATGCTTTATGAGAAACTATTCCTACAAATATTTCTAACGTTTCATACATTTGTAACAATATCAAGCCAAATAACATATATGTATATGTTTAGCATGAAAATGTTATTTTATTTTATTTCACGACCAGCTAACCGATGTATGCATTGATCCAGAGATAATGAAGCAACAATGATCGAAAATATCGCTACTGATGTTTCGGAAAAACTGAGTCTTTCCATGAGATCAATTGATTTCAATGATTTAATTGGGATGAGAGCTCATATGGAAAAGATGAGACAACTGTTATTCCTAGATTTGGATGAAGTGAGGATGATAGGGATATGGGGTCTTCNTGGGATTGGTAAGAGCATAATTACCAGATTTCTAATTAGCCAACTTTCTAGACAATTCCAAGTGAGTGTTTATATCAAGAATATCAAACCGCTTTATACAAGACCAAATGCGGAGTTTATGTCACTACTCACATATCAGAATGATGGAGAAATTCTAACTCTAAAAGTTGAACGAGAGAGGTTGCTACAAAAGAAAGTTTTTGTCATTATTGATAACGTTGACGAGTCGGTAAAATTAGATGATATACTAAAAAAAACTAAATGGTTTGGTCCAGGAAGTAGGGTTATCATTGCGGTCCAAGATAGAAAAATTTTGGAGGCATATAAGATCGATTATAGTTACAGAGTTGCTTTGCCATCAGATAATGAAGCTATGCAAATCTTTTGTATGGCTGCTTTTGGTCAAAAGTTCCCTAAAGATGGTTTCGACTTTCGAAGAATTTGCAAGGACAGTTTTTAATGCTGCTAGTAAACTTCCTTTGAGACTAAAGATTATGGACTCTTATTTCCGGGGAATGTCCGAGCAGGATTGGACTGATAAGATTGATCCATTCTGAAAATGAAATCAAGTCATTTAACAAAAGTTATGGGAGGAGATTAAATTAAATGATGCAAGTAGGTTATCTAAATATCAAGGGTAATGTATTTCTTGAATGTATTTGAGAGAAATCTAAATATTAAATGTATTTCTTGAATGTATTTGGGGGAAATCTTTTTTTTTTGAGCAGTGACATTATTATATGTACAGGTCCCGCTCTTTATTCAAGAGGTTAACCATATAATATACATAGACATCATTGTTAGTTAATTAGATTTATACCATACTAAGAATTTACTCTCTAAATTCAATTTTATTATCTACTTTGGGCAACAGATATAATTTCATAACCACATTCCACTTCACATCAAGGCACAATTAGATAATAGTATAATCAAGGTAGGAAAATGTGAATTTCGATGAGGAAAAGAAGAAATGAGAAAATACTGTCTTCACTCTATTCCCCCGTAAATTCTACATAGCCCTTATTTGAAATACGGTGCTTCTTCCACTTTCATGTAAAGCTCTTGTCTTTACTTCTCTCTTTCTCTCCATAAGTCAGACTTGAAGCCCTTCTGACTCTGATTATGCTTCTGACTTCAAGTTCTTCCTATAGCAGACCACACAGCTGAATGCAAAACAGAACAACGGTTTATGTTCACAGTCATTTAAGCAACTCCCACAGTCGAGGCAACGTTCTATGCAGACTACGCAAGCTCTGCACGATGATTTAGGACAAGGATTATCCTTCAACGGACAGGCTTCTCCTGGACAATCAAATACCATCCCCGGTCTCTCACACCGCGGGCAAATCTCTATGTCAGTAACTCGATCATCTTCTAAAGAGAATTCTGATCTAGAAGATTTAAAGAATCTCTTCTTCCTGGATTTTGGAACCGCATTAGCATCTGCTCCAAGTAATAAGTTCAGCTCTTTAAACTGCTCCTTTGTGAAATATAACACCCCACCAGTGATAAAGGTTTTGACTCCAAGACGGTTTGCGGATTTTAAGTCCCTTAAAATGGACAACACTTCTTCTGTGCTTAGTTTAAGACAACCCGCTATGCTCAGCTGCAAAAACAAATATTGAAAAGACTCATCATGTTAGGGACGCCAAATTTAACAAGCATAAAAGACACAAAAACCTTCGTTGAAGACGAAAACAGAATCCAGTTTTAAAACCAAAGAGCATGTAAAGACCGAAGCAGCACACAGAGACTTAATACAGTATTGGAAACAGACAATCAAAATCAGGAAACAAGATTGGTTCCATTATCGTAAGCTAACGATTCGTAGGCTTTGTCAACTGTCTTAGTTAGAAAAATAATCTGTACAACAAGTTCTCTAAAAGGTATTTGTCAATTACTCTTATACATATTCGACATGACAATGAATAAGAGCAGAATTAAGGGGCAACATGAAGATTTCGATACGAAGAAAACTGACCTTTGTGAGACGTGGATTGCTAGCAAGCACTTGCATCAAGCCATTATCAGTGATACCTACACAGCCTCCCAGAGTCAAAGACTGAAGATTACCTTGAGCGCGGTGCGTTAACTTCAAAAGAGAATCATCAGTTACTCTTTCTTTAAGAGGCGAACCACCGAGGTCAATGGTTCTCCAGAAAAAAGGCTCTTTTCTAACCGAGTCACGCAATGACCTGCAAACTCCTTCAACAGCAAGAATATCTTTCATCTCTAGATATGGAAGGACTAACTCAAAAG